CACACCTGTGACAGGTAAAAACATGCTTTTTTGAAAAACAGTGCCATCTGTTGGACGTAAAAGCAACACACGCTTTTACCAGACTGAGCCACAGCAACGCATGGCTGGGTACAGCTAGTTTAAAATAAGAACATATAATTTTCACATGCTTGGCTGAAGTACATGATTTACTTTTCCAGCATAAGAAACATTTTTTTAAAATTAATTTTTAGGGAAAAAAGAAGAAAAAAGGAAAACTCCTGAGAGGACAATACTCTCTGTAGTTAAAAAAGCAGGTAAGAAATATATTCTGTTACTCCCTTCAGTGATTATTATCCGAGTGTATTTTTCAGATTTTTAAGTTTACTGGGTAACTATGCAAATGCTGATTTTTAAAAATGTTCTGAATTTGGTGGATTTTCTTTTATATAAAAAATGATTTTCACTCCAGAGTTACATTGTCCCTAAAGTTGAACTTTTAGCTTTGTACTTTTTTGTTTTTATAGCGTTCACTATTATAAAATGATTACATCCTTATATCTATGGCATACAATTATTTCAATATTTTCTTATTACAATATAATAAGGTATTTTGCTGGCAAATTTTCATAGTAAAAACTAATGAGAATTAGTCAGGGCTTTTACATGCATGAGCAGTTCTTCAAAGAAATTAATATTTGTAAAATATAAGTATTTATAAACAATTGTGGCCATAATAACAAAATATGTTGTTATTCCTTGGCAGCACAAGGAAACAACAGCCAACAACTTAATAGCTGGCCATCAACACCCTAATCAACAAATAAAAAGCCACACAAAACCAGGCACCACATAAATACCACATAAATACCACACATATTGCACACATACTCTTGAACAAACTGGTGATGACCCTCCATTTCTGGGAAACTTGTGGAGCAAAGAATTGTAGGTGATGATTTTAATGGCAGCTCTACACTATGGAACAATCTTCCATTATAGTTTTAATTAGCATAAAGTTTTTAAAACAGAGTTATCCTGAAGGACCTATGGATAATAATAGGATGCTGAAGGTGGTCTGACTTTATAGTTCTATGGTTTAATTTATTCAGGTTTAGTTTCACCATGGCATTTTAAGCTTGATAGTGGTCTGGTTTGTGTTGCTTTTAACCTCTGTAAACCACTGAGGGCCTGTGTGATTGTGGCAACAATAAAATGTGATAAAGAAACTTATAAATATTTAATACACCTGTGTAGTCCCACATCTCCAGAGGTTTTTCCAGTCACTGTAAGTTGAGGAGATAAATTGTTATGCATCCCTCTGTAAAGAATTGGTCAGTTTATATGAAATTATTATTTTGTTGTAAAGTCAGCCAGATGCTCAGACTGTATTTGGCATTTTTGTCTACCTATCACGTTCTTCCCAAGGACTGAGATGATATTATTATTATTATTATTATTATTATTATTATTATTATTATTATTATTATTATTATTATTATTATTATTATTATTATACATACAATAATGTGAAATCATAGCTGCCAGTTCTTTAATTGTTGTTAGCCTTCATACTTATTCAATTCTTTCCACGATTGTTAGTTTAGATCACTCTGAAAATACAGAACTTTAATTATGATAAAATATTTTTTTGCTGCTGAGTTAATAGGTGTAATTTATAAACAAATAAGCTAGCATATTAATATGTAAGCAATAATGATGCATAGCTTTAGATATGCATATCTGGATTTAATTTTCATTATGGAAAAAGGGAAACTGTCAAGGTAATGATTTAACAGCTAACCAGCTTATGTAATGTAAGATGTAATGATGGGAATGACTCAGCAGGGTCTGCTGAAGCCTGTTGTTCCCATCCAGGCCCCCAGGGTCTCCAGGCCCCCCAAAAGGACATCAACAGCATCATTTAGTTTAACAGGGACAAAGGTGTCTAGCTGGATATTTTCAGCATATTGGTGATGCCTTACCCCATGATGATGAATAATCTCACCCGGTGAGTTCATGTAGATGTTAAACAGAGATGAAGAGAGCACTATTTAGCAGGTGGGCTACATAGTAGCAACAGCCCCAACTGATCCTTAGAGCCCAAATTAATGATCAGGATCTCACAATTTAATGAACAGAGTCTTAATGATGCCCATCCACATATAAGCCCGTGGACAAAAGAATGAGCCAGATTGAAGTTTCTCACAAGGATGGAATTACCTCTATATTTATTAAAATTATGCTAACAATTTTAAATTTGTATCTATACATCATAGCTTGCTACATGCAGTGCTGCAATTCTATTGTTCTCATTTTGCACATCTGTTTTCTTTTTTCCAGTAAGAATAATTGGTTATGCCAGGTAGCAGTAGATTCTGACTTTCAGAATTCTTGTGGGAGAATTAGTTAGTTCAATATATTTCACAGTAAAATACAAAGAGGGTGGGGGGGTTGTTAAATTTTATTCCCCCATTCCTCTACTCTTGTCTTTACACATGTATTATTGTTGCATCTTTCAAGATTTAAAGGGATGGGTTTTGTATATGTCTGGCTACATCAAACATCTAAACAATATATTTTATATTCCTTATGGTTAAAAACAGGTGGGTTGTAAGATAGAAAATATTTGATGTTTGTTTACTTGTTCAGTACAGCATTTACCACTTTTTCTCCAGAAATCAAAGTGCCACACAGCAAGGTTTCAATTCCATTCCGATTCTGATGGGACCAAAGTTAAAATGAACAGAGCCCCCTCCCAATAAAAACACTCCCAAACTAAGGATATTAATTGCATACATCTTTTCACTACACACCTAAGTGTATTGCACCTAGGTGTGCAGTACATACATACTCCCAGATGCATAGTAACAGATGACTTGAACATTCCTTCCTTCTCTTTTGTGTTATGTGGAAATCATGAGACTTTTGTTGCTGCAGGAAATAAATCAACTTCAGGTAGGACAGAGCAAAAATTGCCCAATTAAGTACTGAAATTGTAGAGGACAGCAAAAGTTATATAAGCAATGCAATGAAATTAAGGATTACAACTACATCAGAAGAAAAAAGAAAAAAAATGAAAAGTAAAAAAATTCCAGGAATAATGGAAAATATTATGCAAAGATGGGCATAATAAAAGGCAAAAAAATAAAGGTCTACTGGAGAACCCAATATATGGAAAATAGGGCATGAATAGACCTGAGAACTGTACATAAATGACCCCATTCCAGAATTAATGATATGCATGAAGTTTTGATCACTGGACTACAGCCAGAGAGTCTGAGAAGTGAGGTTAATGGGCCCTGGAAAACATTGCTTCATCAAAGCTGCAGGAATTGATGAAATACCAGCAGAACTATTTAAAATCTTAGATGATGATGATGATGCCATTAAAGTGCTTCATGTGGTTTGGAAGTAGCTGCTGAAAACATAGCAGTGGACTAACGGAAAAGATCAATACCCAAAAGGACAGCACTAAGAAATGTTCAGACTAGTGAGTAGTTGTGTTTAATTCACATGCCAGTAAGATAATCCTCAAGATGCTGCAAGCCAGAATCCAACAGTGCATGGAATAAAAACTGGCAGAAGTACAAGCAGCATTCAGAAGAGGCAGGGTCACCCGAGATGACATTGGTAACTTCTGAGGGATAATGGAAGAGGGAGAGGAATTCTAAACAGGCATACTATGCTAGCATTGCTAATTATTCAAAGGCTTTTGTAACTGTGTAGCTCTCACACACCAAATGTGGACATCCCTTAAAAACATGGATATAGGCTACTTCGTCTGCCTCTTGAATAATTTATATGATCACCAGAAAGCAACATTTATAATGGAGGACATAAATAGATCAGAATCAAGAAAGAAACATACCAAGGCTATACACCATCTCTTTATTATATGCAGAATTTATCACAAGAAATACTGTCCTAAAAGAAGCAGAAATTGCTGGAAGGGACATCAGAAAGTTCAGATATGCTAATTATGCCGCTTTAATGCCTGGAAACAAAGGGAGATAAGCAAGGAGGAGATAGGGAATATCTTGTTCAAAGATACTGCACAACCTGGCTTGCCATTTACCAAGTAAAAAAAACCCACCAAGATTATGTCAATAAGAAAAGCCAGTCAAATGTAAAGTAAATGGAGATGAAACTGAAGTGGTAACCTATTTTCAGAAAGTCATGGGAATGATCATCATAACTATGAATGAAAAGAAATTCCAGTAAAAAGACTATGATAAATCTAGACAAAATATTAAAGTAAAGAGAAATCACATTTATAGCAAATATACTGATTGCCAAGGCCATTGTTTTTCCAGTTGAAACATACGGTTGTAAAAGCTGAACCATCAGAAAAACCTGAACGAAGTAAAATGACGCTTTTGAGTTGTGGTGCTGGAGAACATGATTGAGAATATCTTGGACCGTAAGAAGAACAAATAATTTGGTAGCAAGATATAGTAAAAATAGGTAGCAAGATATAGTACTGTAGCCTCCTGGGTAAGGGGGGAAGGAACAGGCCTGAGCCTACTGGGTCTGGTGGTTTCTGTGTCATGAAGATATAAGCTCCATTTCTGCACCCCATACAAGGGTATCATCTCCCCTCCATCCCGTTTAATCAATTATCAGAGTTATCAGAGTCCTGATCAACACCACCCTGTATAGTCAGCAATGAGTAGCAGAGTAAAATCCACGGGGATATCTTTATCTTTTTTTTAACCTTTTTTTTATTAAGTTAGAGCAACTATACCCAGACCTCAAGAATCTTGGATGAACGCTAGAAATCTCTTAACTTTTGGATGCCACCTATTGGTTGGTTAGAATTTTGCATTCTAGTTATGATAGCCTATGATAAATTTGCATTATCCCTAAGAAGTACTATATACTAAGACAATGGTGGTGAACCTATGGCATGCATGCCAGAGGCGGAACTCAGAGCCCTACCTGTGGGCACGCATGCCGTTGCCCCACCTCCCACTGCGGCCCCCTCCTCACCAGCTGCCCCCCTGGAAGAGAGTCACCCCCGGGTGCGGCCAGCGAGGAGTAGCACAGCCAAGGACATGTCAGCCGGGCAGCAGGGACAAGACTCCACCCTTGTGCCCCATTGCGTGCAGATGATGCTGCGGGGCGTGGCGGAGGGCTGCCTGGGCGATCTGCTGCAGCGGGCCTTGGAGGCAGTGGGTGGCCCTGTAGGGGTGGGTGGCAGTGGGTGGCCCTGTAGGGGTGGGGGCAGAGCAGAGGGTGGGGTTGGTTTTGGGCCCTCAGTCCCTAAAAGGTTCACCATCACTGTACTAAGACATGACAAACTGATACATTGATT